GCCCGTTACCCACCACCAATTCTCCCCTTTACAACTTGCCCTTGGGAGACAACCCAATATATCAAATTTAAGGGTTTTCGGTTGTGCAGTTTATGTGCCAATTGCAACCCCACAATGCACTAAAATGGGTCCTCAACGTCGATTGGGAATTTACATTGGTTTTGATTCACCAACTGTCATCCGCTATCTCGAACCTATGACAAGAGATACTTTTACAGCACGTTTTGCGGACTGTCACTATGATGAGACTTTCTTCCCGCCGTTAGGGGGAGAAAATACCGTTCCTGAAGAACGGCGGGAATATGGTTGGAACATATCCATTATGTCTCATCTTGACCCTCGTACAACTCAAAATGAAAATGAAGTACGAAAAATTGTCCACGTTCAACAAATTGCTAATCAAATGCTAGATGCATTCACTGATACAGGAAAAGTGACAAAATCACATATACCTGCAGCAAATACACCAGCAAGGATTGATATCCCAATTGGATTAACCAATGTTGTAGCAAATGAATCATCTACTGCACTCTTGAAGCGAGGTAGACCCATTGGTTCCAAGGACTCAACTCCTAGAAAGCAAAAATCGAAAACATATTCCAATCCCAATGAAAATGCTCATGAAGATATTATTGGGAAAGAGATTCCCCTTGAATCTACAATTCATCCGGAGAATGAAAGTGTCATTGAAAAGACACAAGCCACTGAAGAGGAAAAGATACCTAATACAGAAGTTTCTGTAAATTTCGCATGCAATGATGAATTATGGGACCGTAGTGAAATGGTTATCGATGATATTTTCTCTTTCGCAGTAGCTGCTGAAATTATAAAAGGTCATGAAGATATTGAACCACGATCTGTTGATGAATGTAAAGGGAGGCCTGATTGGCCAAAGTGGAAAAACGCAATCCAAGTTGAGTTAAATTCCTTGGAAAAACGTGGTGTATTCGGTCCTGTGGTTCAAACACCACAAGGTGTAAAACCTGTGGGATATAAATGGGTGTTCACAAGAAAGTGAAATGAGAAAAATGAGATTGCAAGGTATAAGGCACGACTCGTTGCGCAAGGTTTTTCTCAAAGGCCTGGGATTGATTATGAAGAAACATATTCTCCTATTATGGATGCAATTACGTTATGTTATTTAATAAGTCTTGCAGTTTCAGAAAAACTTGACATGCGTCTTATGGACGTTGTTACTGCATACTTGTATGGGGAGTTAGACGCTAATATTTATATGAAAGTCCCAGAAGGACTCAAGTTGGCAGAATCAAATACTAAATCACAGAACATGTACTCCATTAAGTTGAGACATTCACTATATGGGTTGAAACAATCCGGACGAATGTGGTATAACCGTCTTAGTGAATATTTGATTAAGGAAGGCTACATCAATGATCCCATATGCCCTTGTGTTTTTATAAAGAAATTAAATTTTGGATTTGCAATTGTAGCAGTGTATGTCGACGGCATGACCTTAATTGGAACTCCTCAAGAGATAATTAAAACTGTTGAATATTTAAAGGGTGAATTTGAGATGAAAGACCTTGGAAAAACTAAATATTGTCTGGGCTTGCAGATCAAGCATCATCCCAATGGTATTCTTGTCCATTAATCAGCTTACACTGAAATTTTTTTGAACTGATTTTATATGGATAATGCCCACCCGTTGAGCACTCCAATGATAGTGTTTATACCAAAATTTGCACTTTTTGGCCAAACTCTCCATTCTAGCCAAAATACATTTGGACTTATTTCTTACTCATCAGCCCAACTGGCTATTCGAGCTCCACTTGCCAAAAATTGGAAAAGAAGCCCATATCATTCCAAGAGATAAAATAAGCCAAAATAGCTTTCCCAAGTTTCCAGATTACATATTTCGAAACTTGAGGTCTGACCTTCATTAAACTTAAGACCAGATCAACAGAAAGGTAAAAGCAAAAGTTATCTCCTATAGCCATTTAAGTCTCAGGAACTATAGACCCGTGTGGTCTCATCAGTTAAGATATTTTGAAGCAGAAGTTACAAAAATGGCCAGAAGGTATTCAAAAGGAATTCTTAGAGAAAGCATGCTGAGTATCTCTGCAAAACATCCATTTGCCTTCAAAAGAGGGATATTTTCTTCACAAGTTACAAGGAAAAGATATTCATCACAACTGATATTTTCCAGGAGACATTTTCCAGATATTTTTAGGAACCAAAATTCCTATAAATACAAGGGATGAGAACTGAAAAACGACGACCCACAATCAACAAAACAAATACAAAAGAAACAATCAGTTCACTGATCATTCTAGCCTTCAATAGAAGCAAAGCCAACAAAGGTACCAAGGACCTTCAAAACTATGCTTGAGATTCTGCTCAGAATTCCCAGCCACTCACAACTCAACTTGATTATAGCTCTGCCAATTTCAACATTGGTATCGATTTCCAGCAAATATTTATTAGTTGAAGGTGCAGCCAATTCAGTCCAGCCTGACAGTCCAGTCCAGTCCAGCCACACAATCCAGTGCAGTCCAGCTTGACTAAAATAGTCTCAGAAATGGCATTTCAGGCAGAATTCGAAGTCCAATATTTTGATGTATTTCTGGACTTAGCAGTTCCTTTCATTTACTATATTTCAAACAGTTCTTCTTGAACTTGTTTTATTTATTTATTTTCAAACACTTGTATTTTTGCTTTACTTCCCAGTTTTATTTAGATAAATTATGAAGTCCTTACCAGTCTAAGGCATAGAAAAGAACTTATTTGGGAGATATTCCTCACCCAAATTCACAATTATTTGTTCAAAGTCAATAGCTTGGGGTGCAAGTTATTTTTACTCTCAAGTCTGTTAGAATTGAAAAATTGCTAACAGTGGCACGCTCGACACACAAAGAAAGTTAATTTATTGACCAACCATGGTCTTTGGATTAATGGGGAATTTTACCTTGCAATTTCACAGGTACTAAACACAAAAAGGGATGAACAGATAGTTCGTCCATTAGACACAAATAAAGATCCATTCTGTCCTAAAGAGGATGAGGAAATGATACTTGGTCCAGAAGTTCCATATCTTAGTGCAATAGGTGCTTTATTATATTTAGCCCAATATACTAAGCCAGATATTGCATTTCCAGTAAATTTATTAGCCAGGTATAAGTCGGCTCCAACACGTAGACACTGGAATGGTATAAAGCATATATTGCGCTACCTTCGTGGAACAACTGATATGGGCCTGTTTTATTCGAATGAACCTTCCAACGGTCCAAATCTTGTTGGATACGCGGATTCTGGGTATCTCTCCGATCCACATAAGGGTCGCTCCCAAACTAGTTATGTGTTTACTTGTGGAAATACATCAATCTCATGGCGATCTACAAAACAAACTTTGGTTGTTACCTCTCCTAATCATATAGAAATTCTTGCGCTCCATGAGGCCAGTAGAGAATGTGTTTGGTTAAGATCCCTAGTTCATCATATTCGGAAAACATGTGATCTTTCTTCAACAACAAAAGCCCCGACAATCATGTATGAAGACAATGTTGCTTGTATAGCTCAAATTAAAGAAGGGTTTATCAAGGGTGACAGAACCAAACATATACTCCCAAAGTTCTTCTACCCTCATAAGCTTAAGAAAAATCAAGAGATTGAAGTCAAACAAATTCGTTCCCAAGATAACCTGGCAGACCTCTTCACCAAAACTCTTCCGAAGTCCATATTTCAGAAGTTGGTATATGGATGGTATAGGAATGCGACGACCTTACAAGCAATCAGATTGTTGAAGATCAAGGGGAGACATCAATTGCGGAAACTCCTCAGTTTTACTACATTGGATGTATGTGCAATGTACTCTTTTTTCCTTCGATCAGGTTTTTATCCCATGTGGTTTTTCCTAACAAGGTTTTTAACGAGGCAACATTGAGCACATCCAACATGATGTCATTGTATGGTGGACATCCAAAGGGGAGTGTTATAAATCCATACGTTATGGGTTTATAGGTTATGGATGCCCACAATAATAGCCTCTATTAACCTATCATAATATCCATCATTATATATTTGTAACCTATCAATATATTTGTTACCTACTAATTATGGGTGGTAAATGATTTAGGTCTCTCTACCCCTATAAAGAGTGGCATCAAATATGAATGAAACACAAGTTGATTTTTAGCAAATTATACTCTCTCTTTCTTCCTCTTATTTCTCCCTACAAATTCCCTAGTTTTACAACAGAATCTCCCATATTTATATTCTTTGCCATCATACCTCAAAGGGCAAAGTACAGAAAAACAACATCAAAATTCACTTGTGCGCTCATAGCTCATATTGGAATTTCGTCAAACTCGTGATGTGTGCAACTTAAAACATACCCAACTTTTTGCTAGAAAAACAACAGACTATGCAAGATAGAAAACAACATTTAGCACTGTGTGAAAATGAAAATATAACTGGAAAAAAAAATGAAACCGAGTGCTACTCAATTTTATACCAATCTAGATAATGAATGGTACTGATAAGAACGTATGATTTGGGGTAGATGAAAATGCATAATTTGGGATATATGAAAAGCTGATAAGAACGGAGACAATAACACATAAATTACCTGTGTTATGCAGGGCATACCACTCAAAGTTAAAGACATTGGCGCCGGAATTGTTCGCAATCAGTGTCTTCTCTTTGCTACTAGTCTGAAAAATTAAATGTACCTATGGACCCTAATTTTGAATGGTAGAGACATTGGAGGGAAACTAACCTTTGAAAGACATTGGAGGGGAACTTACTTATTATGGTAGCCCTTACTCTTTTAAAGACGTAATACAAAGTCAAAATAATTAGGTATGTCTACCATCACTCTTGCAGAAATTGTTGTGAGAGGAGCTCTATTCAATAATAAACGAGTGTCGACTTTCTTAACTAGAGTTTGGCACACATTAATTAACTAGAGTTTGGCTCGTAGAGATAGGAATAACAAATTTAAGGACCTAAAAACGAAGAGAGGATTCATAAGAGGGCCAACATAATGTACTCCTTGTTTTGGTGAAACGTAACTAGAGAAATCAAAGTTATTGGAGGCAGAGTGAAGCAAAATGGAGTTTAGGGAGGAAGGAGAAGGAGAGCCAGTGAGCCCCACTGGCCAATACTTCAACAGTTCTATCTTATCTGTTGCAATTTTTGCAGTTTTGGAATTTGAGGTTCCAATCAATGATTCCCAAGCTCTCTCTTTGATTCAAGATGTCTTCCTCCCCATCAACCCTCGCTTCTCTTCTATCATGGTTTGTCCTCTCTCTCTCTCTCTCTCTCTCTCTAGATCTCTTCATTTCTCTCTCTTGTCATTTTATTAGAAACATACGTGATTTTCACTCCTATTTTGTTCATTAATTTTTCACTTCTTGTTTTTATACTCTCATAACCATTTGATATACTCAAATACTCGCAGACGGATAAAATGAGAGTGTGAAAACAGCCGGCTTACTGAAAAAAACTAAAAACTAAAGATTTGGTATTAATTATCCGAAATTATTGAACAGGTAAGTGACAATGCAGATCAAAAGAAACAATGGCAGAGGGTTGAAGTGAAGCTTGAAGACCATGTTCATGTCCCCATTTTCCCTTCTAAAATGTCACCACAATCCTATGATGAGTATTTTGATGACTACATATCAAATATAGCAGCAGAAAAACTCCCACAAAACAGGCCATTATGGGAAATTCACATTTTCAAGTACCCAACAAGCCATGCAGCCGGTACCCTGATTTTCAAGCTTCACCATGCCCTAGGTGATGGCTACTCTCTAATGGGTGCTCTTCTTTCTTGTCTGCAAAGTGCTGAAAACCCTTCTGTTCCTCTAACATTTCCTTCCCTGAAGAGCTCAGGACCAAAAACTACTCACAAGACTAAAATTGTGCCTCAGTTTTTCTCTTCAGTTTTCCAAACTGTATCGGATTTCAGTTGGAGCATTTTGAAGAGCAATTTCGTTGAAGATGATCGAACTCCGATTAGGTCTGGGGAAGATGGAGTTGAGTTTCGGCCAATAACACTATCAACCTTGACGTTCTCCATTGATGAAATCAAACTGATCAAGAACAAACTTGGAGTGGTAAGATTATGTACCAATTTTTATTTATTTATTATAATGATTTCTGTTTCTGTTGAACATACTACGACAAAAAAACTGCTATGAAATATGAAATTATTTACCAAAAACAAGGATTACCCAAATACGCAATACAAATAACTAAAAAGTTCATAACTTAATTACATGATATATATATAAAAAGAAGTTTCAAAATTGGATTATTATGAAAAGGAAAGAAGCTCTCCCCTTAGGTTGTGGTCGTAACGCTCATTAGGTTAGGCTAATGTGTTATATTAGGATTTCAATTATTTTGGGTAATTTTGTAAATTTGACTTAAGATCAAGCTTAATTTTGATAATGTGGACTATTTCTTTTTGTGCGGCTTTTCGTCCATTTAATTTTGGATGTTTGGGGCGGTGGACTTTGTTGCCCTTTGGTAGACATGGGTTGCCCTGTCAGAATTTTTCTAATGAAATTTGATCTTTCTGATAAAAATTGGATTATTATTTGCATTCAAAACATTTATTTCCACACCCAATCGAGCTTTCCAATTGTGCTCTAGCATAAATTCAAAATTCCCTACACATTTATTATTAATTTTTAAATAAAATAAGTCTTTTTTGGGGCAAAAATTAAACATAATTAATCACATCCAACTTAATTTCATGGGCTAGTAATAGGTCGTATCGTGTCAGATTCGTGTCTAGTCAATATCATATACGTGTCAAGAATGTTCAACCCAAACCCGACTCATTTAATAAATGTGTCATGTCGGGTTGACACGCTAATTTTCCGTGCGAATTTCGAGACATGTATCAGGTTGACATGCTAAGTGGTAGCAACTAAAAGACATAAAAAAAAAATTACAAAAATTAAGAATAAACAAAGAAACTGGTTAGCAGGTTGGCAGGTCACACGGGTATTTTAGCGGGTTGGCGGGATTACATAGGTATAGTGGGTTGGCGGGTTGACCCACCATGACCCGTTTTGTTAAACAGGTTACATAGGTATTTGTGCGAGTTGGTGGTTTGACTTTAAATCAACCTGTTTATTAAATGGGTCATAATGGGTTGACCCGAAAATGAGCTGAAAATTTAATCGTGTAGGTTGACCCGCTAATTTTCCGTGCGGGTATCGAATCATGTATCAGGTCGTGTTGAAAATTTCCACCCACCCTTTCGATGTCATTCATGATCCCACTATTTGGGCCTAATAGGATTAGACATAATCCAATCCAAATGTTTTTTTTAGAACAACAAACATTTGCCTAGGTTTATAACAAGTCCTATTCAAGCCCTTTCTTTTCTTAGTTTCTTTTTAGGGTTAATTACAGTTTAGTACCATGTGGTTACACCCTTAAGACATGTTAGTCCCCATATTCTCAATTTTAACAGTCACATACCCCAGATCTTTTAAATTTGTTACAATGTGGTTCCGCCGTTACGGTTTCCGTTAGTCTCTCTATTATTTGCCTACATTTTCTCTTTTTTTAAATTTAAATTGATTAAAATATGAATAAAATATTAAAACCCAAACAAAATAAGAAAAAAAAATTAAAAATAAAACTCTCTCTCTTTCCCTCCCCTCTCCCCCCACCGATTTCTTCTCCCCCAATGACCACCACCCACACGCACCAACCCCCAAACCCACCCCACAGTCACCCCTAGCCCACAACCACAACCCCCATGAACCCAGAACCCCAGTGGCCCCCACCCTCCACCCCAGCCCGCAACTACATAAAATAGAAAGAAAAAAAATCATCCATAAACTCTCCCCCAACGAACCCAAAACCCCAACCCAGCAACCACCTAGACCCCTTCCCCCCGATTTCCCTTTGTTGTTGAGAGACCACAACCCACCAGCCTCCTCCCTACCCCGTATGGGTGGTGGTGCGGCGGCGCTCCAAGCCCACCATCGCAGCTCCATATATATGTTTTTTGTGTTGTGATGGGGGGTGCGGCTGAGAATGGTGGTTAGGGAAGAGAAAGGAGGCTTGGGTTTGATTGGGAAGAAGGGAGAAAGAGGTTTAGAGAGACACAAAAGAAAAGGTTTTTGTTTATTTTTTAATTGTTTATTAATATTTTATTCAATGTGTTTTAAAAAATTTATTATATTCAATTTAAGAAAATAATATGGGCTCTACATGTGCCATGTCATCACTTAACAGATTTTCTAACAGCCAATGTAACTGTAGATTCACATTGCAAAAATTTTACAAAATAAGGTTATGTACATGAAGGGACCTATAGCATGTACAACTTGGGCTATAGCCCAGGTGAGTTTTATTCTTTTCGTATAGTTAGTGTTAATGCTAAGCATATATAATCAATTGTTGTTGGCATTATTGGTGTCAAATAAACCTAATGAATAAAATAAATTGATATATTCTTAAATTAAATTTATATATTTATGATCAATTACATCAGCCTCCTTATAAGGGTTTAGCCGAGCCTAAACTCTAATAGTCCAGTAAGGTAAACTAACCCACCCTATTTTGAAATCCTAAGTCCGTCCCTGGGTATGTAATTGTTAAAATTGAGAATGCGAGAACAAATATGCCTTAAGAATACAACTTTAGGGTACCAAACTAAAATTAACCTTTCTTTTTAATTGTTATTATATTATTTGAATGAAATTGGCATGAACAATTGCAGACGATAAATGATGTGATTGTTGGAATAATCTTCTTGGGCACCAGAATATACATGCAAGAGATTACCCAAAAATCAAGCAATGAACATTGTACGGCATTGGTGCTGTTCAGAACTAGAAACATTGGGGGTTATACGTCAATCAAAGAGATGATCGAACCCAATAATGCTAAGACGACGTCATGGGGAAACCAATTTGCCTTCTTACACTTGCCAGTGCCCAAGTCAACTGAAATCTCAAACCCACTCGACTTTGTTTGGGAAGCACAAAAAATGATCAAGAAAAAGAGGAGTTCTGCAGCTAGCTACCTCACTAGCTGGCTCTTGGATGTTTTGAAGAAATTTAGAGGCCCTGAGGTACGTAATTAACAAGGAAATTTGACATAAACATAATTTTTATTATTAACCACTTAAATTCTATAAAATGTAGGAATTTACCAACTTCTCCTTTTTTATAAGTATTAGTGTCAAATATCTAATATGTTATATTACTAAAATCTCATTTTATACTAAAACGTAAGTACTCTCACATGACATAGAATGTTTTGTAGGAAATATAATTTAGGCATGATGACCTCATAAGTCAAGTTTGTGTAATCCAGTCAAAACACTTTAAATGTACTTATCAACAAACTAGCTCTTAGCAGGGCGGCTTTGAACTTTTAGGGGCTATGTGCTAAATGAGCAGCAGGGTCTCTAAAACAAAGTTTTGAACAAAAATATTGAAAATTAGATCATACATATTGATAGAAAGTTTACAACTAAAACTCACCAAAAGATAGTAATATACAAAAATATGGTCTAACATGAATCTTGCCAATGTTGAATTGGTTTTTTGTTCTTTGCCAAAGTTAAAAAAGGGGAGGGGGGAAACTCACACACACGGGTACCACGGAAGTTTGAACTCAGGACCACTTGGGAGCACACAAAAGGTCTTGGCCATCCAACTAACACCCTATTGGTCAATGTTGGGTTGGTTTAGTGTCAATGAATGTTGTCATGAGAAGAAGTCACTTAATTATAGATTGATTCTCACAAAACCACAAAAAGCCCAAAAATTTAATTCAATCAAGCTATCAAAATATAAACTACAAAATTCATCATTATTTACCGCAATTTGTCTTCGCCTAATGAGAATGAATGGTCTAGGGATTTTCTTCAAGAGCAGACATTGGCTCTTAGTAAATTGGTATCTATCTTTTTAACGTCGAAAGAAATCCTAATTTCTAAATTCGAATCTAACCCGTTAATATACTAAAATCTGTTAGTCTTTCGTAGAACTCTAGAATATTTTTTTCGAAAAAGAAAAAGAAAAAGAAAAACTTTAGAGTGTTTTAGAAGGTGTTGTGTTTGCAGGGAGCAGCCAGATACATTCATGGCACGCTCAAGAACTCGAGCTTGACAATCTCGAATATAATTGGGCCAGTGGAAAAAATGGCTTTGGACAATCAGGCCGTTTGTGGCTTATACTTTACGGCGGTTGGTGCACCTCAGGTACTTTATTTATTTATTTATATATTGAGACCTCGGGTACTTAATTATGAAGTTACTTTATTTCTTATAATTACTTTGTGGAAGATAATTATATTTAATACCTTACATATGATATGAGCCTCCACCACCAAACAAAATTAGAATTATATGACAAGAGATTGTTGTTTACAATTAATAGAAATTTATTTTGTTTAGTTAAAACTTTTAATTTTGATAGGTTATATTTAATATTGAAAATTGTTATTTTGCAATTTTCTTCTTTATATTATTATTGAAAATTGTATAATAACTTTTCGGAGTGCTAATAAAACCCTTTTAATATTACTTTTAAACGATACTAGCCTCTTCGCACGCGCTTCCGTGCCTGTGAGAGGCTTTTGTAAAAAAAAAAAAAATTAAATTAAAAAAGATAATGGGTAGTTGAACTAGGATCCATTATCTTATTTTTCTTTTATTTTTATTCTTTTTATAGTAAATTTGGGTTTTCCCCTTTAAATTCATTTTTCCTTACCTACAGCCCATCCTTTTATTTTTCTATAAATTAAACCCAATTTTTATAAGTAAAACCCAATGACTAGGATCCACCTAAGCAAGTTACCTAATCCAGCTTAACATATTAAATGTTATATTTTTTCAATTCCTAAATTACCCTAATTGCATTTTAATTTTTTTTTTCCAACAAATTGTTTGCTATTCAATGTCATAATGGTGTTTCAATTTTGCATAAGTTTTGTGGGTCAGTTTTATTTATTTATTTTATATATAATTAAAACTTGGTGTGTAATTAGTGTCGTATGTTTTTGAAATTGATTGGTTCTAATATACCTATTATGTTTTTTTTTTAATTATGATTGGTTATATTTTGTAAACAAAATATATAATTAAAACTTGGTCTGTTTTTCCAAATCCGACAACCTGACCATATTTTGTTTCAATTTCATATTAATTGGTTAGTTATTTCCTTTTATTTATATCAAAATTTCAAATTTAATAATTGTTATGGATTAGAAATTAATTTGTTTTAGGAACATTAATTTACCTACAAATATTTTGTATAACTATTTTTTCTTATAAATAATGTACCTATATTTACGTATATTTGCTTATAATGGACCATATTCAATAATGAACCTATTTTTTTTTATATATAAATAATATACCTATATTTTTGTATATTAAATAATGTACCTATCTACGTATATTGGAAAATTATAGTGTACCTAGATATGTTAGATATATTAAGTATACAAAAATTGTTACACAACTATCAAAGAGACCAATATATATTTATGCTAACAAACTCCCCAATAGAAAAAAGAGAAATAGTCAACCCTAATTAATGCACGGGTTCAAATTGTGACTCTAGAGGAAATTGATGGATTAAAAAAAATAGAAACCACGTTGAATGCCTAGTTAAAAACATTATTGAAATCCTAACTTTAAGGGATTTTTTTAAGAAGAAAAATATTCAGCAACAAAGAGGGGTTGATGGCATGATTTGTAAATATGTCATAATTTATGTACACTTTGGCATCCAATTCAAAATTGGTTTTTATTTAAATGTAATAAAATATATGGGTTATTGTCTAGAGTATTTTAGTTGTATGGGTCTATTTTGGTTAGACCCTTTTTTTTAATATGAAAAAGTGTGAATTTACCATATTATCCACATTTAATTAATAATTTCAATCCTTAATATTTGCAGTAACCAATGACATTTTCTGGTATTTTGAATGTTTTACCATTCTCTGCCTTTTCCTTTATATATATGGATTAATACTCTTTTCATTGCCTATAGTTATATTCTGTCTTGGAGTACATTTTGGTGGTTCTTGTTATAAATATTAAAACTATGTGGCCTTTTTTTTTCCTATTAATTTATATATATATATGGGGTCGGATTTAGGGGTCGGATCCGTGGCACTATATTTTTTACACAAGTTTTCAACTATTATATTGAAATGGAATGAATGGCTAAGATTAACTAAACTAATTATATATTTTTTAAGAAAAATATATATTGAAAATAATTATTATGACTTTTTCTTTCTTATTTCTCTATCCTCAGTCAATGTTTATCAATCTCCCTATTTCATCGTTCTCTATCCTCTAGAATTCTTCAGTTAAAGAATTAAGCTTTACAGGTTTCTGATTCTTTTTCTTCTCCATCCCCAACTTTGTTTTTTGCTTTTTTTTACTGCTTATTTTTTTGGTTGTTACAGTTATCCATGGATTATGACTCTTGAAAAAAAGGCTTGGGGATAACACCCCACCCACACACACACAATGAACTGCAAGCAAACTGTCTTTGCCATATATTTTTTAATGTTATTATTAAGCATAATGAATAAAAGCTAAATCTTGTAAGAAATTAAGATGTTAGAAAAAAACACACAGAGAGAAAGAAAGAGACACAGAGAGAGAGAGAGCGCAACACAGAGTTAGACCAACCAAACTGTAGAGAAGAAATATTGCAACAAATCTGGGCTTTTTCTTTTTTGGTTAAATAGTAATATCCTATTTTCTCTTCAATATTGGTAGCTTGAGACAGATTTTTTATGTCGTGGGAGAATGCTCGGTTGGTATAGATGACAATGGCAAGGGGAAGGTAATGGTGAGGTTTCGCAGAATATTAATTGAGAAGAGAGAAAGTGATAAGAAAACAAAAGGGGGAAAGATAATTGAGTGATTTTCAGAATTATCATAACTAATAAATAAAAATGAAATTTATATCAAAATTTATGTCGAAAACATAGTGCCACGAATCCCCATATATATATATAATAAGATAATGAGATGGTGTTTATTTGATGGTGTTTTATACATGCAGTGTCTTACTGTGACTGCACTTAGTTATATGGGAAAGCTGAGGATTGCCTTAGGAGCTGAAAAAGGCTTCATAGATTCCCACAAATTGAAGGCGTCCATGCAAAATGCCTTTGGAGTAATACTCGAAGCCTCCAACCAAATTCCTCCTGCAAAGGCAGCATAGAAAACCAAAGAAAAAGCCACTTGTTTCAATAATTGAAAAATACGAGGGTGAACGAATCTTGATCCCCAATGGCCGCGGCAGCTAGAGTTCTTGGTTAGGGTTTTGTTTACCCTTTTTATATTTGAGGCTGTTGTAAGTTAAGTAAAATTCTTCATTGACCTTTTTGTTGGAAAATTTGGTTGAAGATGCTACCCAAAACTATTAATACACTTGTTTCAATATTATATACATTGATAGAGTATATTAAATCAAACCAATGAAATTACAGCAAAATACTTATCTTTTGGGATGTAGAAGTTGGTCTCCATTGATATTTGAGTAGAATAATAGTTTTGGGTTGAAGCGTGTAGTCACTGTCCTTAAGTGTAGATTTCGTCCCTCGAAGACAATGTCTCGGTGTAGCAAAAGGAGATAGAAGATCTTATTGACATGGGGAAGGTGGGCTTTGTGGCTCGCTCCTGTGACAAATATGGTAGAATATTTTCATATCTCATTTCATTCTTCGAAAGGAGGTATTTATAATACAAGGTTACAAACCCTAGTAGAGTTGAATTAGGAAATAAGTGGAATCCTAATTACATAATATCTACACAAAAGGAAAAAATAAATAAAACCCTAATAGAATAGGATATATCTCGCCAACACTCCCCCTCAAGTTGGAGCAAAGACGTCACGCATGTCCAACTTATCAAGCGAGTTGCGAAAGATACTTGTAGAAACAGCTTTCGTAAGAACATCGGCTAACTGATACTCTGAGCGGATGAACGGAAAGGAAACAATCTCCTCATCCAACTTTTCTTTAATGAAATTTCGATCAACCTCCACATGCTTTGTACGATCATGTTGAACCGAGTTATGAGCAATTGCAATCGCAGCCGTATTGTCACAATATAAATCCATAGGTTTCTTAGGCCCAAAACCAAGGTCTCTCAAAAATCTCCTCAACCATAGTAACTCAGATACACCATGAGCCATTCCCCGATACTCTGCCTCAACACTAGATCGAGACACCACCTTTTGTTTCTTGCTCCTCCACGTAACAAGATTTCCTCCAACAAACATAAAATACCTAGATGTTGAGCGCCTATCTGTAGCTGAACCTGCCCAATCAGCATCTGTGTACCCTTCCACATCTGTATTACCGTACTTGGAAAACATTAACCCCTTGCCATGAGCCTATTTGAGGTATCTCAAAATACGTGTCACGGCACCCATATGATATTCACTAGGTGAGTGCATAAACTGACTCACTACACTCACTGCATATGCAATATATGGACGTGTATGAGCCAAAAAAATTAATTTTCCCACAAGCCGTTGATAGCGCTCCTTATCAGTAGGAGCTTGGTCAGGATACAACCCCAACTTGTGATTCTGTTCACTAGGAGTATCAATGGGTTTACAATCCAACATTCCAGTTTCTGCAAGCAAGTCCAAAACATATTTTCTTTGGGACAGAAAAATTCCATGCTTAGATCTGGCAACTTCAATCCCAAGAAATTATTTCAAGTCACCTAATGATTTCATCTCAAATTCAGACGCAAGATATTTCTGAAGATTCTGTATTTCTACCTGATCATCTCCAGTTACAATCATATCATCAACATAAATTATTAAAGCTGTCAATTTACCTATGCGACGTTTCAGAAACAAAGTATGATCCGCATTACTTTGTACATACCCAGACTTCCTCATAGATGCAGCAAACCTCCCGAACTAAGCTCTTGGAGACTGCTTTAATCCATACAATGATTTCAGTAGCTTGCACACCATACCCTCTTTAGAGGTCACAAGGATACCTGGTGGAGGATCCATGTATATTTCTTCTTTGAGGTCACCATGGAGGAACGCATTCTTGACATCAAATTGTAACAGCGGCCAATCATGATTAGCAGCTAAGGATAAGAGTACGTGTACAGTGTTGAGCTTAGCTACTATAGCAAAAGTCTCCGTGTAATCCACTCCATATGTCTGAATATACCCTTTTGCTACCAATTTTGCCTTGTAACGGTCAGTGGAACCATCAGCCTTATGCTTCAAAGTAAACACCCATCTGCACAGTTGCCCTTTTTCCTTTTGGTAAATGAACTAACTCCCAAGTAGCATTATTGTTCAAGGCTTCCATCTCAACATGCATTGCATCTACCCAGTTTTGATCAGATAGAGCATCCTGCAACTTAGTTGGAACACATACACTAGATAATTGACACAAATATGATGCATATGACTTAGATAAACGATGAGTTGACATATAATGGTTAATGGGATATTTAGACTTGGCATGTATATCAGGAGAATATTGTACTTTAGGTTTCCACGGGTAGTACGTGGGGGCAAAGAATAGGTAGGCACATCACTAGAAAGTACCTCATTATCACGACTTGATTGAGGCAATGGCAGGGCTGAGGGGGGTCTTGTATTAATTTCGTCTATACGAGAGTCGCTAGTATCACTGTTATGTCCTTCTGAGAGAGGCTCGAAAAATCCAAGAATATCATCTGGCGAACGGTTGTGACATTCCTGGCGACCGGTCGCGTCACTCGTATCGTACTATTGTCGCTCGTCGAGGCAGGCGACCGGTCGCTTTCTATGTGCGACCGGTCGTTTCCAAGAAAATCCATTCGTGACCGGTCGCTTACTTCTACACGACCGGTCGTATCCAAACAGATTCGTTCGCGACCGGTCGTTTCATCCTTGCGACCAGTCGCTTCCTGTTCGCCAGAAATTCCTTCTTAAGGTCCAAGATCTTCCATATTTTCCACTCCGAAACTCTTCAATTCACTCCCCCTCTCCCCCTGAATTGAAGAGGAGGGCGCTTCCTGTTCGCCAGAAATTCCTTCTTCAGGTCCAAGATCTTCCATATGTTTCACTCCGAAACTCTTCAATTCACTCCCCCTCTCCCCCTGAATTGAAGAGGAGGGAGAAACATAATTGGGTACTTCTTCATGAAATGTGACATCCAAAGTGACATGTACCTTCTGAGTAGGCAGGTGATAACACTTATAACCCTTATGAGTAGTAGAATAACCAATGAAGATGCAACGGAGAGCACAAGGATCAAGTTTACTCCGTTGATGGGAGTAGACATGAACATACGCAACACACCCAAACACCTTCGGAGGTAACTTAGAGACCGAAACCGGAGGAGTATGAGCACACAACAAATCAAGTGGGGTCTTGAAATCAAGAACCCGACTAGGAGTACGATTAATCAAGTAGGCGATGACCAAGACACCATGTCCCCAAAGATGATGGGGAACAGACATATCCAACATCAGAGAGCGAGCAACTTCAAGTAATTGATGATTTTTTCCTTTCAGACACACCATTCTATTGAGGTGTGAATGGAGTGGTAGTTTGGTGAATGATACCTTGATCATGAAAGAACTGGGTCAAGGTATGATTCACATATTCACCACCATTATCAGTCCGAAATACTTTAACACGATCATGAAACTGAGTAGACACCATGGCACAAAAGTCAGGAAGAATAGAGGCAACATCATGTTTATTCTTCATCAAATACACCTATGTTAAGTGAGTGCAGTCATCAATAAACATAACAAACCAACGGAAACCATGAGAAGTCACACGAGCAGGACCCCAGACATCAAAATGTACTAACTCAAAAGGCAAAGCAGCTTTATTATTACTTAAGGGAAAAACAGTACGGTGGCTCTTGGCCATTACACAAGTCTCACATTTGAAATAAGACTCATCACACGAACTAAATAACGAAGGAAACAAATGTCTAAGATAACCAAACGACGGATGTCCTAAGCGACGATTCCATAACCAAAGTTGTTGCTTGTCTTTGACACTGCCACTC